GTTGGAGAAATCTTGGATTTTCTTGACGCGACTATCAGTTACAGCCCACTCTGACTTCACATGACAGAGATAGTCGGATATGCTCTGAAAAGACTCCTCGTCTTTGTCTGAGCATACGCAGTACGACCCTGACTTGGTAAGGTATGACATACGGATTGACTCATCTGTAGCAGTCACCACTTGCAATAAAAACAGGCATGAGTTCAATGAATAAAACATGTAAAATGTAACTAATCTATAACTTAATGACGCTAGCATTAATAATATGTGACGTTTTACCTTAGCCAAAAACCAGTCGCATGTTGCTGGCAGCTTGTGAAGTATGTTTCACTGCGATGAAGTCGCTGGGCTCAATTTTCTTTGGATTATCATGTTCATCAGATAAAACTAATTGCACAAAAAAAGTCAATTAAAAGCCTCCTATGGAAACATGCATTCTCTGAGCCATGCTGTTACTTGGGTCAGTATTGGTCAAGTGACCCATTGGTTTGTTAAAAGTATGCCAGGGGAGGTGGAAGAAAATTTTGACCATTTCAAAAAATGTGGTAGAAGTTAATGTAGCAAAATTTATTTACTGAGCATTATTATGATCGAATCAGTTTTGAAAGTTATATCATGCCGGCTCACTCACCAGTTGAATTTTGGCTCTCCTTTTTCATCCCCTGCAGAATCAGATGCTTCACCTTGAAATCCCCAGTGTAATCTGTATTTTTCCACATTTCCACATTGCAATCTAGACACTTGGACAAAAGCATAGTAGACGTCTGATTTTAAGCTGATACTTGGCAACAACCTGGAACTGGTGGAAACCTTGTGATCCCTTCAGAGTGGTCACTTCTGTTTGTGGTCATTGGAATTCATTTTCTGCCACGTAGATGATTGCTCGTTTTGAGTATTGTAGTATTGGCGCCTAGTATTGGATAGGTTGAGTCTTGGGTGGGTAGCTCAGCACCGCAGTACAAGGACTTGATAAAGAGACACGTGTAGACTGGTTAAAGTTACTCACAAGACTGCCTCGTGGCTGGCACACCTGTGGAAGTGCCAGACCAGCACGACATGCTTGAATGGTTTATTATCTAATAACTACATTCGCCCCCATTTTGTTTGTTTGTTTTCCCTTTTAAACATCAAGTACAAAACATATCACGTAATATGATGTTCATGAAAAACAGTCAAATGTTTTCCACTTAAATCTCAGCCCTTTACTGAAATACGGTAAACATGTCATTAAATGATCGCAGTTCAAAGTAATGTGGCAGAAAGTGTTTATTTGTGACGTCATACCATAGCACTAACGCTTAATCACTGTGTGTTATTGACTGGGCAGAGCTTACGAGCTCCGTGAACATGGGCGTCGCTAGGATTTTGTTAGAGGGGGCAAAACATATTTTTACCACAAAATTCTTGTATTTCTCAACAAATTCTCGATTTTTCAGTTTTAGAGGGGGGCAGGGACATTTTGCCCCCCCCCCCAACTCATTAAATTTACACCACTATGACCTCGCGCCTCTTTTTCTTTTCTTTTTTTCTCTTTTTTTTTTCTTCCTCTTATTGTTTTGTTTTTTTTTTGCTTTTCCAGGGGCCCCCCCTCACGACGCCCATGTCCGTGAGTTGCTGGACATATGTGATTGGTTGATAATTCCCATAGGTTTAGCGTGCCATAGGGTTAGTACATGCACATGGCTCGTAAATATGACTTAGCGTCTACACGTACCTGGTATATAAGTGCGTGCCTGGGCGGCGCAGAGGCGCTCTGGTTTGGGATCAAGTTTTGGACTGATTGTTACAGTTGTGGTTTAGGTGATTGTTGTTAGGTGAGATACTAGCTGGTTGAGTGTCTAGTTTTGGGGCTCAGCTGTTTCAGGTGTTGAGTGCCGGGTGTCTGGAGATAGCGGGCTAGGGTGTAGCTGCGACAGCGAGCAGAGAAGTAGGTGAATTACTTGTACTCTGCTTATGTGTAATTGCTTAGGCGATTTGTACAAAGTCTGTGTAGCTGTACTGGGGTTGCGGTGGTGTGTGTAGCTGAATTCTGGCTTACGCACATGGTGTAGCGGGTACCCTGCTATAGGACTGTATACATTGCTAAGCGGCTGTTGTGTGCTTGTGACGCTGTGTTATTGCTAACTTAGCGATTCATTACTGGCGCTGTGCATAGTTGCTCATTGCTGCCATTGTTGTCTAGTGCTTAATGCTGTGTGCGTTGTTGCAAAGGCGAGCAGCGGGCTATCTCCAGTAATTAAAAAAAGACCCTGTTAATAAAAACAACCCACCGAATCACATCCTAATTAATGTACCTGATTATTGTTGAATAAATTATGATTATTGTTGTTTGAGATTACCAACAATTCTGCTTCAGGTGTTTATGTTTACAGGTTTATTGTGCAATTAATTAACAGAGATAAATAATTAACACTCATTCACAATCGGGCAGTAGATTTCCACCAAAACGGACCTGCACCCTTAGCCTTGAAGGTCGCTCTGAGTGATCTCTCGTCTAGGGAAGAGCCTTGGTTTGGGAAGATTGTCTTCTTTCCACTAAGAGTCAGACTTATCCTAACAGACTTAGCTTGGCCCGAGGGGTTCCCGCCACAAATGGTGTCAGAAGTGGGATGATTGTGATTGATTAAGTTGATTTCTCTATTGAATAATTGAATTGCACAGTTAAGCTTGAATTGTTGTTGATTTCTGTGGTGATTTCGGTGGTTGTTTGGAATTATGAGCGAAGGAACTTCAGAATTTGGTTTGTGGGTTGCTCTTGATAGTCTTAAGAAGCCTGTTGCTTTTGGGACCGACAGGTCTAAGGTCAATGTCACTATTGCTTAAACAATAGAAATTGCTAAAACAATAGAAATTGCTAAAACAATAGAAATTGCTAAAACAATAGAAATTGCTAAAACAATAGAAATTGCTAAAACAATAGAAATTGCTAAAACAATAGAAATTGCTAAAACAATAGAAATTGCTAAAACAATAGAAATTGCTAAAACAATAGAAATTGCTAAAACAATAAAAATTGCTAAAACAATAGAAATTGCTAAAACAATAGAAATTGCTAAAACAATAGAAATGTTCCATTTTGGTTAGGGACACTGACTTAAAAAAAAAATGCAAGCATGTCAGGGGGATTGCGCAAGTCTCACCTGCAGTATTTTTCTTTATGGCCTAACGCAACATGCACCTACCACCAGTGTATATGCACGTTAAGCCATTCTGCAGACGAAGCCCGAATTTTATTGTGAATGAGTATTTTTTGGCCAGTTCAACCAGATCCGTGATGTGCTGGGACAACATGAATATTCATTATTTACGTCCTGTACTAGACACAAAACAGCGGTAAACATTTTGTGCTTACGTTTACGAACACATTATAATATCACGTAAACTGATCAAGAGACGTGTTCACACACGAACGGCTGTGCTGGAGTTTGCCGATGTGCAAACTGTTTTGGAAATTCCCTGGTGTTACGCGGTCGTTTTCAAATGATGTACATTGTGCAAATGGGACCAGCAAGCCTTTATTCTGTTGTTTGAATGTGTGCACTATAACTATGATGATGTCATTAACTGATTTTTTGTATTAATATTTAACATTTTAATATTTTCTTGTAATTACATAAAATACGGTCAGATTGACTTCAAAGTAGGCACAGACCAAGAGCCATCATTTTCAATGAATGACGTCATTAATTTCCTACATTTTGTAAATTCTGGTAGTCTCCTAACCAGGCTACATGTATGTTGCACAAAATTTCACTACGTGCACTCTGCTTTTCATAGGATGACACACGTTTTCGTACAACACCCCACTTTGTTTTTTTTGTTTACACCGAATCGACACTTACATCACCATCTGTAGAATACTCATGTACATAGTGTACATAATAATTTGGGGGTATGCTGAATTGCGAAGGACGCGGCTACAACGTGGTCGGGCCGCTGGCACGTAAAGGCGCCTATGGCTGCCAGCCACATCAACCCATATATGACCACGGAGCAAAGCCTGAGATCGAAAGTGTTCGATTTTTTCCGGAGGGAGGAAAACCGGAGGGCCCGGAGAAAAACCCTCGTGGCACAGGAGAGAACCAACGCACAACTCTACTCACCAGTGATCCACGGCCAGGCCAGGATCCGTGGCCAGGATTCGAACCGTGGTCACCTTGGTTAGAGGCGAGCGCTTTATGCACAAGCCACCCATGGATGAAACTCCTTCATGGCAGTTGTTGCTAAAACAATCGAAACAGCTCAGAGTTTGTCCACAAACACATGTCTACTTTTACATGTTTTTTCTTGTACAGTATCTATTCATGTTCACTCACTCATTTAAATCACATACAATGTCTTCCCAACAGAAAAGCAACAGACAATTTTATTCAGGGATCATAGGCATCAATTCAGTTCGTAAATAACCTAAAGAAAACAATAATGATGTAAATGAACATTCCATGTGACCCATGTAAGTTGATGTTAAAATGGTGGTGTCATGCTATGGGAACAGTCAAGTGGCGGCTTATGGGGTGGGCCATGGGAGGGAATTTGCCCACCCTCCAAGTTTTTCCCTGTCCCACCTCCCCCTCCCCCAACAGTTTTTTCGCAACACTTACCAACAAATAGATTAATTATGTTTGTTTTCTTTGCTGTTAAGATTCATAAAATGTGGACACATTTTGGGCCAGTTAAAGCATTATAAACATTGGTACTTTGGTAGACAAAACACGCCACACATGCATTTATATAGCTTTAGATAGTGTGCAGCCAACATCTTTGTACATTTGTTGTACATTTGTTATACACCATTCTGCAGTTTGATACATTTCTCATTCATAGAAACGACTACACTTCCAAGTTGCATACACAGGCTTTAGACTTTATTTTGACTGCCCCTAAAAATATTTCCTTGCCCCCCCAAGTCTGGCCCACTACTGGAACAGTCACAGTTGCGGGGCATTTGTTTTTAACACTACTTTTCTTGTGTTTTGTTTTAAATCACTGTCCACTTTTAGCAAGCTGTGTGTGCTCCAAGCCGTATCTCTTTCCTTACTGGGAGACGCCCAGATTCTACCTTACTGTGGGACTTCACGTCAAGCTACTGGCGGCAGGCAGCTGGAAATTACACCACATTACCACAACACTTCAAAGAAAGTGGATATTACACTTTGTCAGCTGGCAAAGTTTTCCATCATGGTAGGTATATGAAGATATTTAATAAAGAAATATGCGTAGCTCACAAGTTAACTTGAACATTCAAAACCATATGAGGCTCCAATAATAATAATAAAACATTACAAAAAATTAAAGCTTAATACCTGTTTGAGAACAAAAGCTTAAAAGGAATATACATAATTTGCAAATTGTGTCAAAAAATACAAAACTACCAAATTATTATGAAATACTTTACTGGACTATTAAAGAATGACCGTCTGGTGTGCTGACATTTTCACGAAAGTGGTATTTCTGTATCAATTTCCAACACAGGTCGGCTGACCAGCATTGGAAAAAACTGGTTTTTTTTCAAATTCTGCCCCCAATTTACGATATTTAGTCAGTCAACATTTTATTTGCAATTGATTACACACCTATGAATGGGTACCAGCCAGCTAGACTGGTTCCCCGACCTTACAATTCTCCGACATCTATAAATTGCTCTGTTTGATTATAAGTAGGGTCAAGGAACCAGACTACTAACACCTGATTGTTTTTCTTGGTTTTTCCAGTATCAATGAACACAAAACTTCAAACAAGTCAGTGTAACAATATTTGCCATAAAATCCTACCCCCCCCCCCCCCAAATTCATCAATTTCATTAATATCTGTGTCAGCCTAAAATCTGTTTCTACATGTTTGAAGAAAGCTCATTTAATTCATAAATAAGCTTTTTAAAAATCTGTTTCTACATGTTTGAAGAAAGCTCATTTAATTCATAATAAGCTATTGGCAGTGTTCTAGTACTCTAGTACTTTTTGTTTAGAGTACTCGTACTCGAATGTCAAAGTACTCGTACTCGTAATGACGGTACTCGTACTCGGGCAGCAAGTTCTCGTACTCGACATGTCGAAATTGTACTCAATCATCAAAGTACTTGCACTCGAATAGCAGTACTCGAAAAAAAAAAATGGTATACGGTAGCTTGACTTACCACGGCCGTTAATTTTATCAATACTTTCAGTTTGAAATGGTTGATTGGCTTGCAGAGAAGTCGAAGTTTCCTGACTTTCCTGTGCCCACGTCTGGACAAACACAATTAACAGCTAGCCATGAGTGGGTCTGTATGTCGGTCTGACTGGGCCTAAACCGACATAAACACAGGCCTGTATGCGTAGTACACATACGTTACCACGAATCTGCCACGTTGTACGTTCCACATTCACTTGTCAAAAATTGTCGGTCTGTGAAGAATTTGTGGCACTTTTGTGCCCAAGTTGTAACTTGTTCGTGACGAAAATCACGAAATATGATGTCTGTATACAAGTACCGGGTACTCGTACTCATACTCAAAAGTACAAGTACTCGTACCAGTTTGTACTCGGCAACCTAAGTACTCGGTACTCGGGAAAAAAAGTACCGGTACTCCACTACAACTAGCTATTGGTCCAAAACCCATCATATTGGTGGTTTTCTTCACCATCCTACGTCCGCTTGAGTTTATTTCTTTGAATTTAATAAAGTGGAGTTTGTCTTCAATTTGTGTATCTTCATTTGTCTGATTTTCGATCTCCGTAAGTACGTATTTTCGTCCAGGCACGGACAACACTGTAGCCGACGCCCTCTCCAGAGGAAGGATTCGGCCAACGGAATGGACGCTACAGCCTCAAGTCGTCGATCAGATCTTCTTGAATATCGATCGCCTACACATAGATCTGTTTGCAACAAGAGCAAACGACCAGCGACTTTTTTTTTGCTCAAGATACCCCGATCCACAAGCATGGCACACCGATGCTCTGTTGATTCCATGGACGGGAATGTTTACGATGAAAATGCCTTTCCCCCAATACGCCTTTCCTCCAATATCCCTGATTGCACGGGTACTCACAAAGATAGAACGGGAACACTGCAGAATCCTCCTTGTGGCCCCATTCTGGCCCTGGCAGCCATGGTTCCTCAGATTGATCAAGCTGTTGGTTCACAGCTCACTAATCCTACCACAGCGTCCAGACATCCTGGTCCAACCCAATTTGAACATGATTCACCCAGCACCACAGGATCTTCACCTGACGTGCTGAACATGTCCAACGATTGTTCCAATCAGCGAGCCTTTCGGCAGAAGCTGCCACATTTGCGGCACAGAGTCGGAGACCATCTACAACAGCCGACTTCGACATTTTTATAGATCTTGCAGATGGAAAGCTACTGATCCTGTCAATTCGTCTTTAACCGATATTGGTGATTTTCAAAATCGTGTTCGTTTTTTTGTGAGGTTGTAGACTATGCCGTAAGAAACAGTTTGTGTTCCCGGACACAAAACGGCTTGACCTTTACTTCCGGTGTTACCGGAAGTACATTAAAAACCGAATATAACTCAAAAGCGGAAGCATTTTACTACAGACATATATTATGAAAGTGTTAAGTGAGGAATGGTAGACACAAAAAACAGTGTGATGACGTCATCATCAGAAAGGGCGCCCCCTAGCGGCACATAAAGTAGTGTTTGTTTTCTTTATTTTGAAAACCATCTGTTCAAATTTTATCAAATCGCCCCTTGATATTCTTTGATTAACCACAGATAACTTGGCAAGGTTTCAAATTCATGACGACATCAGACCGGAAGTTATTCTATGAGAATTTGAAAAAGATCATATTTTAAATTTAATTCTTTCATTTGTTCCATGTCATTTATATCTTTGTAGCCCAAATAACGATACCATTATAATGTTCACCATTGGCTTCCAAATACTGTGACGTTATTTAACTTCACAATGAACATTTATCCACTCCGAACTAAATCAGTATTCACTTCCCGTTTTTGACTAATGACGTTATCAAGCCAGAAATAACTTGTATGTGTACATAAAATGTTTACTGAAATTTATCATACTGTTAAAGATGCATTTTTTAAACAAAATAATTGATTGTACTGGAAAGGATTTAATTTCGTGATCCTTTGTTCTTACATAAACATATTCATTACTTATCTTGGCAGTGTTTAATAAAAAATTGCCTGCCCGACCACTCTGCGTTGTAACTCAACAAACGCGAACTTCTAGTCTGATTGAGTGGTCGGGCACAATCTGACCACTGTCTAGAATTGTTCCGATTAATCTTTCTTTCTTTCTTTCTTTCTTTTTTTTTTCCGGACAATACTTCTCCGCGGGTTTACTCCTAAACCGTTGAAGATATAAACTTGTAACTTCGAACACATATCGACCCTGATCCCGAGTAGTGCATATTGTCCTGACGTCATGATGACGTCATCAGGTATCAAATTACAAGCAATTTAGTGTTTCTATTTATTAATCATTACAAATCGATATAAAATCAACCGTGAGAGACCGGAACTTGTTTTTAACGGCAGTCAATAGAATAATACTGGGTCTTCAATTTACTTCGTTGGTGTCAAATCATACGACCCTTACTTCTGGTCGAAACCAGTCGAACCCGGAAGTGCCCTATAATTTAAAAATGGTAAAAGATATGAACGTGCTTTCAACGACTTTTCAAAACTGTAACCAATGACGTCATGAAATATTAGAGCGCCCTCTAGCGGCAGGTTGAAAAATGTCCAAAATGCATTTTGAATAGATGTCTGTGGTGAAGTTTGCTGTAATCTTTTGAAAATTGGTATATATGATGACCTTCATGCAAACAACACGTGTGAAGTTTGAAGCCGATGACGTCATCAGACCGGAAGTTAGGCAAAAAAAAATAAATATTCGGTCTCTGGTCAGACCAAAGTTCCGGAATTGACGCGGCGACGCGGCATTTTTTTTTTTTTTGCCTTTTTTTTTCTTCTTCAAGCTTGGATTGTACATACAAGGTGGGGTACTATTTTGCTTTTTTGGTGTCCTCATGTACATTGGTGTCCGCCATAATTTGCCTTGGTGCTCTCGATCATTTGCCTTGGTGCAATTTCCCATTCCTTTGGTGCTCTTTGGTAAAAAAAAATTGAGGAGGTGCGGCAATAGAGGGCGCTGTTGGAGCTACCGCGGAACATTTTAGAAAAAAGAAGATTGACGCGCATGATTAAAATCGACGCGCGCGCTGACCAGAGACCGACTTATTTTTCTTTTTGGCCTTACAACGAAAAGACTTTTTATTCTTCAAAAATCGCTAAAAAATCAAACGTGAGAGATATAATCTTAAATTGTCCATTAAATGATAGATTAAACATTGGCGTCAATTGTGCCAGGCGCGTGGCTTGTCAAATTGTTCACACACGTGACCCGCCGCCGACAAAAATACCCTAACGGTAGTCCGTCGCTCAAAAATTCAATGAAAGCGTAGAGCTGGGTGTGCGTGAATACACTGCATGTACAGGACATTGTACTTGTACATGCATTCAGTGCAGATCCATTATTTCTTCATCGTCATGCTTGTTGGAATGGGGCCAAACACGTGGCGCGTAGTCTTGTGCTCGAGACGCTTGGTCTTCTATAACAAATCCCATAGACTTTGTGCACGATTTTTCTCGTCAGCATTTTAGTCATAAAGCACACTCATTATGACATTGAAACTTAACATAGTCAAAGAACATATAGCAAAGGTCGTTGGCGAAGATGGACGCAATGATGACGTCATCATGTGATTTATTATGAAATTTTGAATATTTATTTAAGCCCATTGACTTTTTTACACAGTTTTTCCACTTTGTGCCCTTTTTTTTCAAGGGACCTTTTTGGCCACTTTTCAATGGGGCATCTTCATCAAAGTAACACCAAGCAAAGACCTTAATGCTAAGATTGTGCCAGAACAATGATGGCACGATGACGTCATCAGGTGTCACGTGACGAGCAATTAAACTTTGATATTTTTTATCTTTAAAATCTATAGAAAATCAATAATGAGATCTGTCGTCTTGCTGTTTGCGGCAAGTGATAGAGTAAATTAAGGTCTTTATTTTTTAACGTGTACGTAAAATCACATGACCCTTGCTTCCGGTCGAAACCGGAAGTGGCTTATTATTGGCTTATTATTTAAAATTGGAAATAGATATGAACTTGCTTTCAACGGTGTTAGTCTCTGGCCAGACAATATTCTTCAAAACTTGTACCGATGACGTCATGAAATTCTCGACCGCCCTCTAGCGGCAGGTTTAAGAATGTCCAAAATGCATTTTGAATAGATGTCTGTGGCGAAGTGTTTTGTAATCGCCTGAAAACTGGTATATATAATGACCTTCATGCAAACAACACATGTGTGAAGTTTGAAGTTGATGACGTCATCAGACCGGAAGTTACAACGAACAGACTTCTATTCTTCAAAAATAAATCAATCCTGAGGGAT